GATGGAAGGAGAGTGGGAAGGGAAAGGCTGGGTCAGCAGAGAAAGCATCTGCCACCCTGTGCACCGTGTCTACATCTACAAGAAGGTTCATTGCCATGTCACATATGCTGTCCTCCTTCCATGACAGAACATGTTCAATCTGTGGACCTAAGGATGTGCTGGGCTGTGACAGACTCTGTAAGGATACATGAGGACCGAGTTACGAGGACACGGGATCACAGTTCACCATAAACTAGCCTGGCTATTAGACTGGGACTTGTTTTATTTTGTCACCCCCCCCAGCCACCTGTTCATCTTGTCTCTTCTCTGTCACCTGTTCCTGTCATCCATCAGTCACCTGATTATTCTCTCCTCAGTCACCTGTTCAATTTGTCACCCTTCAGTCACTTGATCAGCTACCTTAGCAATAGCTGCAGCACAGACCATGAGGGTTTCAAAGCCTGACACATTCACCATCTGGGCCTTAAAAAAAAAAAATGAGCTTTTGATTCCTTGCCTAGATGGCAAAGTTGAAAAGGTTTTCAATTATTGTTTTGGGGGACAGGTTGGGGTGGTATTTTCAGTGTGGTCAGCTCTCTGGTATACAAACTCCTTTCATTCCTATATGTCATTTTACCTAAAGCAGAACATAGGCCAAATGTGAGATTGCAAGAAGGGAAGTCTGAGTGAAGAAAGAGGATCCTGGATGCAAGTCAGGATGGGAAATGGTTTCTATAGGGTTTCAAGAAGGAAGTGAAGCTGAGGCGGGGGTGGTACCATACATGCAGAGATTACACTGAGCCTGTGGTCCAAGCTCTTCAAGCAGGAAGAATCAGCATACCGACCTTCTCCCTTCATTCCTGCAGTGTCCTCGGTGTGAGCCTTTTTTGACTCGCATTGAAACATTGAGATGTAGGAATCTTGACATTCATTGTACAGAGGAGAAAAACAAGACCTAGAGGGGACAATGTCTTTCCTGATGTCACACTGTTAGAAAAATGAAAGAGCACACACTCGATCCTATGTCTTTGACTTCAGTGTTGAATAATTTTCTACCCAATGAGATATTTATACATACAGCAGTCTGTAACCATTGCCGATGGGGATGTGAAATCCCTGAGCATCTGCATTCATAGAGAACAAAGGTGTGGGGCAGTGCTGTTTACCGCCTTGCTCCTTATGGATTGTTTAGCCTGTTTTCTTATAGAACCCATGACCACCAAGCCAGGAATGACACTGCTCACAATGGGCAATGGGCTGGGCCTCCCTGTCAATCACTAACTAAGAAAATGCCCTAAGGCTTGCCTAGAGCCCTGTTTTATGGAGGCATTTTCTCATTTGAGGCTTCCTCCTCTCTGATTTCATCAGTCTGTGTAAAGTTGCCCTAAGACTAGCCGACACAACACCACTTAGAGCATTTCCAGTATGGATAGCATTTGTTTGCTTTTTGGAAGATCTATTAAACAAAACAGTCACAAAAACTGGGTAGAAAATGCTACTTGGCCTATTCTACACACGGGGAAATTAAGCCTTGAGGGGTGGTGGGTCCTTCATAAGCTCATCCATCTGTTGCTCGTGACCCCTCCCCTCCATCAGATCTCTTTGAAAGACTGTGTGTGCAGGGCACTGGATCTGCAGAAAGGCAGCAATGCAAAGATGATCAAGTGCTAGAAGGATAAAGACAGATTGCTAAATAAAGAGGGACATTCAAGTGAGCTAGAAAGGGATAGAATGCCATTTTATCCCACGAGTTCTTGTGGTGGAGAGGATATGACAATGCCACTAGCAGAAGGCATGAGATCATAGCAGCGCGATTTGCATTGGACATGAGATGCCCTTCACAGACAGGTATATGGGACATCCTAATGTTACTGGATGTGGCCAGTGATTCTGACCTATTTTCTAGCTCTGATTAACTGCAACGTTTCCCTATGGTGTTCTTAGCATCAACCATGCTCGTGTGTGTGTGTGTGTGTGTGTGTGTGTGTGTGTGTGTGTGTGCAAGTCCCCCCCCCCTTCAACTTTCATCACTCACCAGAGATGTCTTCCTACCTGACCCACTTAGTTGAATCCCAGAGTCACCTCAGCCGTGGCTTCCTGAACCTGCAGCATCTGAGACTGATGGCCAGCCCCTTTCTTGCTCTCACATCACTTGTGACCACAGGACCTGCCTCTGCACTTTCCTCATAGGTGTCTCTGTTCAGTGGCTTCTCCTCCCAGCTTTCTTGCTTCTTCCATCTCCTTTCCCTGGCTCTGAGTGATGAGGGACCCAGGGTGGTGTCTGAAGACTTGTTTTTTCTTTGTGATTTTATTCCTCAGGTCTCAGTGTCTATGAACCTCAAACTCTGCTCCATTTGGGACCTTCCCTTAGCTCCTCCAGATTGGAGCATATAACGTTCATCTCTGCTTGGATCTCACAGGTTCCTCATCCTTGTAGGAGCAGGAGTAATAATGACCCTTCTGAAAGTTTAACTCACCTATACAACTAGCCCTGTCAGTCACTGACAATTCATTCAATTTTTGAAGTTACTAGGTGTGACCACAGGTCTGTGATTTCTTACCTCTATGGCCATCATGTGCTTCTGTCAATACCTGTGTAGCCATCTTTGATATTTATGACACTGAGCTAGAGAAAGGTATCTGTCTTGAATTATAAAACACAGACAGTCATTCCCTGTTGACTTGCTCTTCAAGTTGCCATATATAACTAATACGTTATATTAGTAGGTGGAGCTCTCTCTCTGGTCTCCTCCAGACTCTATACAGTCCAGCCCCTCCCTCAGAGCACATGCAGTGAGTGTTACCAAGTGGTAGAAATCTACTCTACCCTTCTATTTGGCCCAGCTATGGCGATCTTTCATAAGGAGGTATAGCTGAACTCCACTAGATGGAAGTTTGTAGGCTCAGAGAACAGTTACTTATAACAAGAAGGTAGGCAAGGAGCATTTTGAGATTCAGGGGAAGCAGACAGAAAGGAGTGGGTGTGTAATAGAGGTGAGTATCACGAGATAATATGATCACATTATATTACAAACATGTAAGGAATTGTTAAAGAAGAGAGATGGGTCAGCAGGTAAAGGTGCTGCCCCTGAACCCAAGAACACAAGTTCGATCTCCAGGTCCTGCACGCTGGGAGAAGAGAACTTCCTACTGCAAGCTGTTCTCTGACCTCTACACATTTATATTGTGGTAATGCCTTCTACACCATCCCATGAAACAGATGTTTTAAGGAATGCCACTGTAGAAAATCAGGAGCCAAACACAACAGCCTCAGGACAGGAACAGCTCATTCAGACGGCTTCATTTGGATTTTACGTTTTCTTTCATTTAACTTTCACATGTTATCATTTGTACTTCTTTCCTTGATGTAAAATAGCTACTTTTGTAAAACATTAAAACTGAAGTGATGTCTAGCTGTCTGTGCACTGTTAAGAATCATTCATGCATTGTGGCTACAGACAGCTATTCTTAGATATTTCTCCTGTGAGTCTCTTTTCAGCCTTTTACAGTCCCTTTCTGAGCAGCAGACTGTTAGCCCACTAATGTGTAAGGGACAAAGAGCAGAGCAAGGATAGTCAAGGGAGCCCAGTCTGTAATATTCAGGAATGCCCCACAGGCAGATGGATACAGGGATTCCCCTTGAGGAACATAGAGAGATGCTCAAGGGGAAGATGGATACAGGGATGCCCCTGGAGCAGATAGATGCAGGGCAGCCCTGCTTCTTGGAATGTGTAAATGTTTCTTTTCCCTTCTATAAAAAAGTCTTAGCAGAAGCAGATGTGACAAAGAACCTTGTGCAATCCAGTTGGCATAATCACAAGTGTTTTAAGGAGAAGTAGAAGGAAACAGATGCACCTTCAAGATAAGGCCTCATGACCACAGAGGCATGGGTGGTAGTGGGAAAGAGACAGGCCCATCCACTCTATAGAGGAACAGCCATGTGATACACAGATAAGAACCCAGGGAACCTGACTTCAGATTTACATGTTCCTGAGCCATGAAATTGAGATGTCTGTTTCTGATGACCATTGTATGTGACTGTTCCAGGTGCCATTAGAGGTTTTTGAGGACAGACTTGTCAAGTAGTTCTCAGAAAAATAAGAAAGCAGAGATTGAGGGACCCAGAGAGGATAGAAACTCCAGAGTAAGACCAACAGAGTCAACTAACCTGGGCCTTTGGGGACTCTCAGAGACTGAACTATCAACCAAAGAGCATGCATGGGCTAGACCTTACCCCCCACCATGTAAGGTCCCCAACAGCTGGAGCAGGTGCTGTCCCTAAATTTGTTGCTTGTCTGTGGATCTTGTTCCCCTAACTGGTCAGCCTTGTCTGGCCTCAGTGGAAGAAGCCATGCAGAGACTTGATGTACCAGGGCAGGAAGGATGGGGGGAAATCCACCTTCTCAGAAGATAAGGGGAGACATGAAGGGCTGTGTGACAGTTGGATCAGGGGGTGGGGGAGCATTGATTGGAATGTAATGTGAATAAATAAATTAATTAATGGGGAAAATAGAGGACAGAAGCTCTTACCCATGGCCACTTCTCCTCTGTGTTGCAACCAGACTTTTCAGTTACTATGTACTGCCTCATCCATCTCCTAAACTTCCTCTTTCCAGCCCTCCCCTTTTTCAAATAACCGCTGTCAGTGAACCAACGCCACATACTAAAATTGCTCAAAATTGATGAAAACCTAAATGCAGGACCTAAGGCTGTAAAAAGTACTGATGAAACATCACCGGCTCATGTCACACTGGTCTATGAAATAGTACATTTGAGGGTATTAAAAAAACTGCAGAAAACAGAAAATAAATAGATAAACAGGATTGCATTTTTAAAACTAAACTTATATGGTCTTGGTGGGTTCATAATCCCAGCAACTTCACCAACTGGAGCAGGAGAATCACACAGTCCAGGCTAGCCTGACCTGTGGAGTATCTTCAAGGTCAAACTGGCTAACTCACAAAATACAAACTAAAGGTCACAGAGGCCTGGAGGTGTCCAAGGGTACTTCCCATACTTACCTAGCATATTTGAAGTCCTACGTTCACATCAAATCCTGGGTGCTGGAGAGTTGACTCAGTGGTTAAGAGCACTTGCTACTCTAAAAAAACAAAAACAAAACCCTGAGTCCAGTTCCCAGAGCCCATGTCAGACAGCTCCCAACCACCTGTACCTCCAGCCCCAGGAGATCAGAAACCTTCTTATGGCCTGTGAGCACCAGCACTATGTCACACACACACACACACACACCCCAAAATAAAATCTTAAAAGAAGCAAGTGTCACTCTTGATGAATATATACATATACATACACATACATATACATCATATGCATCATATACAGATACATCATATACATACATATACATCATACACATCATATACACATACATCATA